TCAAATTTACAAATACGAATCAAATTTACAAGTATGAATCAAATTTACAAGTACAATTCTTTTACCTGTCAAAATAACAGACATTATGCATGGAACACCGAAAAGATAGAGAGTTTAACTTACAGTTGTTTAGGGGTTTGATGGTGGACTTCAGTCCCCCTGCTGGCCGGGTCAGAGCACTGCCATTACATGTTTTTGAACTTGCATTATTTTTTCCGTTATGCAGACGATTTTATGAATGCATCAGTTTTCCTTTTTGGTTGTTCATCATAAATCCACTATCTACTTTATTGTTGTACTACATGACATGAATGACAAACTGAAAAGCCTCCAAATGCTTTTCCCTTCAGCAAATTGTTGTGTTTATAAAGAGTTTTCTGGTCCCAAATGAGGCAGTGGTCATGTCCCCCTAGTGGTCTGGCTTAGTTACTGTTTGCAATCGATCTTTTCGGTGTTCCATGAATAATGTCTGTTATTTTGACAGGTAAAAGAATTGTACTTGTAAATTTGATTTGTACTTGTAAATTTGGTTCGTACTTGTAATGTGGCAAAGTTGTAACAAATTTATGTATGTTTATAGACTTACATGTACAAATTTAGACTCTTACACATACAATCTAAATTCGAATAAATAAATACGAATCTAAATTCTTTGTGTCCTGAATGAATCATTCACAGAAACCCTGCTGCTGTTCCTCTCTGCTCAGACACAGAGTAATTGGTAATCTGCTTGTGTTTCTGCAGCGCTCTCTGTCTCCTACGTCCTCGTCTCCCAACATGTCTCCTGAGGTAAGAGCTGCTTCACGTCTCGCCGATAAATAACGCCCGTCACTCTGACTCCATAGATTGTGATGTCATCGTGTCATACTCCACCCCCACCCCATGCTGCAGAGGGAAAATGGTTTATAGTATTTTTTTTTTCCTTTTTCTGCTCTGATTTTAGGTAGTATTTTGTGAAATGACATTTTACATTTTACGTATTAACTCTTGAAGACATGTCTCCAGTTCTGGCTTTCTGTTTGCTTTAGAATAGATTTTAAGATTTTACTGCTCACTTTTAAAGTGTTAACTGGTCTGGTACCTTTGTGATCTTTGTAACAGATGCTCCATAAGAGCTCCTCAGTCGTCCAACCAGTTTATCTCAGACGTTCTTAAATAGAAATGATTGAGTTTTTCAGTTTCTGCCCTAAACCTGTGTAGTAGTTTACTTTTTCTGAAACCGTTGGGACTTTTAAACCCTTATCCAAGATCCATTTTTTACTCCTTGGCTTTAGATTCTTTTAGAGCTGATGGTTTTCTGTTGTATTTTATATTTATTTGACTTGTTTTGTAACATTACTGTGTTTTTTTTGTTATAGCTTTATCCATTAATTTGGCTCAATTTTGAAGCACTCAACTTGTGTTGTATTTGAATAAACTGACATTGACATTTTAAGTCAACAACATGAAGGGTTTATTATACAGTCTATAAATGTGAAACATTTCATGGCATCAACATACAAACCAGCTTTCTGAAAGTTGGTTTAACTGGTGAAGATCAGATATAAAAAGGCTTACAGTCTAATAAAATTATCTTTCATTTCAAGTGAGTGTGTTAAAAAGACATTTTGGACATTTTGAGTTTGGGTTCTGTTGAAAGTTATAAACAAGAATATCTTGCTTGAATGACCTCAGTTTGGAGTGAAATTCTGCCTAAATTAACAACCTGAGGACTTGTCCTTTCAGGTCCAAGACTCAATTGAATTATTCTGTCTTAAAAATATCCCATTTTTAAAAAGTCACTGCGGCTCATGTGAACGCTCTCTTTCAGAGAGTACGGTGTTTGAAAGCAAAAAGAGCAGGAGTGAAGAAGTCGTGTTTAATCATTGCAGTTTAATCTTGAGTAGTTATAAAGCGAAACAAGCACACAAATCTCTGGTCATTTTACGATGTTTCACTCAGCAGCAGAACCAGAACCAGTGGTGACCCATCAGATTTGTCCCACGGCCCTCTGGAAGGTCTTAACCTAAACTGTTTGGAAACACTGTGATTTCACTCGGCGTCCTGCTCTTGTTGAACTCTTCAGCCTCAATCGCTGCTTTGTCTTCCTCAGAGGGTGAAAACTGTGACATTTGATGCAGCCGTTTGCCTGCAGCCACTCTACAGGAAGAGCCTCTGTTGTAACGACTGAAGCTGTTTTTCCATCACAGCTTCAGGTCACTGCTGCACTGCTGCTGGGATGTCTGCAGAAACAGTCCGTTTCATTTCAGAACAATTCAGTAGTTAGTCTTTGAGTTTAGACCTGAGACTAAATTGACTGAAAGCAGCTCTTTTGAAAAGTTTTGTTTTTTTTAGAAACCAATATGAGCTTTAATTTTTATACTGTAATAATGTAAAGTAAACAAGTGTTCAGTGATAACAACACTTCAACCATCCAGTCTGTTTACAATCATAAAGCAGTCCCTAGAGTTTTGCTATTAAGTCCATCCAAGATGTAATGGTATCTGAACTTGCCATATTGACAGTGTTGTATACCTCAAACTGATACGTGAGTAAAAGTACAAGTACAGTGTTTTACATAAAACGACTTTGGTAAAAGTTAAAGTCTCCTCTAAGAGTATTAGTTGAGTAAAGATCTTGAAGTATCTGGTATTTTTTGTACTTAAGCATCAAAAGTAAATGTCTGACATAAAATGTACTTAAGTATTAAAAGTAAAAGTACTGAGTCAAAGTGAACAGTTAGATTTTTCCAAAATGACATTTATTGGGAGGTGATCTCCCCAAAAAACATTTTTCTATTTTTCATTTTTCTAGGCCATAATGACTATTAATACATGCATTCATGTACTGATGTTACATTAAAATGTTATTGTTGAAAAATGTAGTACACAGTCTGTCTGTTTCAGCTTAAAG